TTGATAAGGATTAAGTAAATCAACTAATCGAAGTTGTAAAAAGCCGACAAACGTTATAGCGATCCCTAACCAACTTACCAGTCCGCGGTTTACCTACCGATTTGGAACCTCATAAAAAAATTTGGTAACAAACAAACTCCAACGCAATTATATCCTTTCGGTTAAAAAATCAATCGTCAGAAAATATGAACAACATATAAGATAAACTTTTTCAAAACCATATTGAAAGGATGATAATGATGATGGTAGATTTTGGTGTATAATGGTGACATGTGGGCTTCACCACCTGTCCTAGCCATAACGCGCTGATGCTTACTACTCATCCTCTTGTTCGCCAACAGAGAAAAGGGTCAATTATTCTTTTTCTGATTTTTGAAATTGCTACGTGATCTTTAGAGAAAACAGAGTCATAAAATATGTACCATCAGCATTGTTCTCAAGTTCTCAATTAGAAAAGTCGGGTACCAATATATTGTTGTGTAAAGCAGCCCACGTGCAGTGATTTTACCGCATATTTCTCACTAGCAACATGAGAAAATGATTTATCGGGAGAATGAAGAGAAACGAAGAATATAAACTAACCATCTGTTTGCAAGTAAATTATTGAAGACATCATTCACATACTCATCCAATTAATAAAATATCTTCCTGTATGATCGAGGATTTATGTTCTTTTCATCTTGTTTGTTCCTTCATCACCATGATGTGGTTTTGAAATTGTATTTAAAAAAGAAAACAGATGATCATATACTAAGTCCATTTCACGTAAGAGTCTTGTTTTCTAAATACTTACAAATTAAAGTCCTTATTGATGAATTGGTGTGCAACCATTCGAGGGGCCAATTCTTGGTTCAACTTATTATGGAATTATTGGAAGGACCACTTTGTGTCACCTTCACGACCAAGTTTCTTCATCACATACCTGTTGTCCACACACACTTCTAAAGTCCAGTCTTTCTGAGCCACTAAGTACCTTGTATGTGTCCAACCAAGGGACAGCACCGGGCACTCATGGATCTACTCTCCTTCACTACATCCCTTTTCATGTTTGGATTAATTAGTTGGATAGATGTGACAGAATTAGTTTGTGCGACTTCCATACGCCGAAAGGTCTAGTTAAAATAAATATCTACCCCTTCAATATATGTGTCCACTTCATTGAAGATTTTGATTCCGGAGGTTTAATCGAATTTTGATAAATAAGTTTTATTAGTTATTCAACTTTTCCATATAATTAAAGATATTATAATTTGATTAATTTCTACACCGAGGAAATCTAAATCATTTACTTATATGACGTTTATGTGTTAAATGTTGAAGTAATTTCCGACTTTATCTTCACATAAAAGGAAAGGGGCTGGTTGGAAACTTGGAATTGGGTTGGGCTAGACACTTTCAAGTTTCAAGACAATAATTACGGAGTGGTTGACCCAGCGCTTTCGTTCAGTGTAATTGTGACAACGGAGAAGAACAAAAAAAAATTCTGAAATTAATTAAAAAAAATATATAAGAAAAACAGTCCTCTCCATCTCCAACGATTCAATTACTAACACGTGGTGGTGGAGTGCCAGTTTGCCACCACAAACCAGCACGTATCAGTATGAATAGAGAGCATAACAGAGAACACTTTTTCATAAGTACACTTAAAACTATCAAATTATTAATTTATTAATTTATTCTTAAATATATATTATATATTCTCAAATCTCAATGTTGAAATTATTATGAAATAAGAATAAAAGAAAAAACAAAGAAACATATCATAAAGGCCGTGGCCCGTGGGGACTGTCCACTTTTTTTGTGCCAAGAAACATGCTATGTGTCAAGTTTATACAATAAAAATTCTGTGTGCCCTCGTATTTTAATATAATCTTTCTATAAAGAAAATAATTAGGAGTAACACACTAGCAGTAAATGATTTGATTTATTCCTATGGAAATGCTCCTATTGGCCACTTATATTCCTCCAATAGCGATGGTCGGTTATTAAACTTGGGTTTATACGTGTTGCATGCATTGCCTTCACTTGGCTTGGCTTGGCTTACGAGAAGCTCCATTGTTGTATAGTTATTAATATTACTCAGAAAATAGCAGAGTGGCTTGGCTTGTGACTAATTAACTAAGTTCATATGACAATTTATTAAATAATAGTTTATAGATGATAGCTTATTATAAAGTATAAAAAGTGGGTTGATTTTATATATTTATATCGCTTTTTTAGAAACTATAGTTCTATTTTAATCCTGATAAATGAGTCCACTCTATAAGTCGCCAGGCTAATTTTATTCATGAAAGCGAACTTTTGTTTATTTTACAATAATTTCATGTTGGCCATTAGACTGCAAGCAAATCAAATGTATTAATTAGTGAGGTTTCATACTTTAATTGTATTATCGAGACTTTTTTCACTTTGCAAAAGGTTTACCAATATTATTATAATATAAGATGAACGGCAATATGGCTTTATTGAACTGACTGATTCTGGTAATCTGGTTTTATTATTATTTATTTGTATTTTTTTCTTAAGTGGGAGATGGTATTTGTGGCTTTTAAGTTTTAGTGAGTGTAGAAGACGCACAAAACAAAGGTGGGCCGTGCCGCCGTGGGACCTCTTTAGAGTAATGAAAGACCAACGTTATATCAAACAAGTTCTGGTCAACGTCGTCCACGGCAGTTAAGGAAGTTGAGGTTAATTGGCGGCTCATTTTCAGTTAACTAGTTAATCTATATCAATTTAAATTTTAAACAATAACTCATGATAATGTAAAAAACTAAAGCAAAGGATCATATTTTGAGTAAATAATGTAACATGCTGTTGAATGATTGAACATAACCTAAAGTAAAAATGCTTCCACGAATTGTCCTAATATTATGTTTTCTAACACATTTACAGGTTAATTAGGTACATATCACGATGAGCATTGCTCTCTCTTTTTCAAGCCATTGTCATCGTGAACCAAACTCACATCTTAAGATATATGATTAATACACATGGGATTTCTCAATGTCTTTATGCAACTCACAACTATATTATTATTATTGAAAAAAAAAATTGCTTCTTTAGGTAGCTCATAATTCATATTAAGACAAAAATTGCCTAACTCTTTTTGGATACGCGAAAAAAACGTGTTAAAATAAAAGCTAATAAGAGAAAAAAATCACGAAATATAATAATGTGTATCATGCTTGGGTAAATATTATTTGTATGGCACTATTTATGGCTATCTTTTAATTATACAGATTGATTTTATAATTAATGTAGAATCCTTTTCCTTGTCAATCCTCATTAATTCCGAATTATATTATAAAATGAAGAAAATAATCATGCTTATGTAAACAGGAGACGCAAGACTTATCACCGTCAACATATATGTATTTTTACTATTTATATGGTAATTAAAGGTCACCGGAGGAGAGCATATCTATACAGTATATGCATTACCTTTACTTTTTACCCCAATATTTAATGCTAGCAGTAGCAGGATAATATTTTTCTAATTTAGAAGTGGGTATTATATTTAAAAAAAAAAAAAAAATTAAAACAAGTCTAAAAATAAATAAAAAATTAGAACGGGAGTCCCGTGAGCATACGAAGTCAGTTAAATCCTTGATCTACGTCTATAAATAACAGCCCTCGTTGTTATACTCCGGCACTTTCTAGCTTTCACTTATTTAAACAACGCTTCCTCGCATAAACTTCAACAACGGATTCAAGGTACGCTTTATTTCCAGTTTCTTCGTTTGTTTTTACTCATAACACACGCATAATCAAATTCTTATTCTTTCCTCCCCTCTCTCGCTTGAAAAATTATTGTTCTTATATTGTTGTATAAGGATTTGATTTTGTACAGAATCATACATTCTAAAAGATGCAGTCTGAGTTACGATATGCTTATAAAGTAGTTCTAATTCAATCAAAGAAAAAAAAATCGTGTTCTGAAGCCATTTATTATCAGTTATTTGCGCTTTGCTTTTTGTGGTTTGCGGCTAGGTATTTTGACCGCCGAGGAGAGAAAAGCACTTTACATGTATTTGCCATTCCTGCGCGAACTCGTATTTTGTTATTATGCGGAATGTTTTTCAATTATTAATTGAAAAAGTTATTATTTAAGGGGTATTTCTTAGTCAACCAGTAAATAGAATAGAAAAATAAAAATGAACATAGCCAGTTTATAGAATACTTAATACATGAAAGCATGATGTTTTCTCGTGCACTTAGCTATTCTGGTTTATATTATTTTGACTAACACCTCCATGAGTATCAAGTAGTGTCGGCCGAAACAAATTAAAAATGAGAATAGTATAGTATAGACATTATATTATAGTCTGCTTTATTGGTTTTGCCTGGCGGCATATTTTATTCGTTAAAAGATTATCTTAAAGTTCTTACTATTATTAATACTATTATAAAAGAACAATGCATTAATTAAGGTAATCCTAATNGTTTTTGGATACGCGAAAAAAACGTGTTAAAATAAAAGCTAATAAGAGAAAAAAATCACGAAATATAATAATGTATCTCATGCTTGGGTAAATATTATTTGTATGGCACTATTTATGGTTATCTTTTAATTATACAGATTGATTTTATAATTAATGTAGAATCCTTTTCCTTGTCAATCCTCATTAATTCCGAATTATATTATAAAATGAAGAAAATAATCATGCTTATGTAAACAGGAGACGCAAGACTTATCACCGTCAACATATATGTATTTTTACTATTTATATGGTAATTAAAGGTCACCGGAGGAGAGCATATCTATACAGTATATGCATTACCTTTACTTTTTACCCCAATATTTAATGCTAGCAGTAGCAGGATAATATTTTTCTAATTTAGAAGTGGGTATTATATTTAAAAAAAAAAAAAAAATTAAAACAAGTCTAAAAATAAATAAAAAATTAGAACGGGAGTCCCGTGAGCATACGAAGTCAGTTAAATCCTTGATCTACGTCTATAAATAACAGCCATCGTTGGTATACTCCGGCACTTTCTAGCTTTCACTTATTTAAACAACGCTTCCTCACATAAAATTCAACAACGGATTCAAGGTACGCTTTATTTCCAGTTTCTTCGTTTGTTTTTACTCATAACACACGCATAATCAAATTCTTATTCTCTCATCCCCTCTCTCGCTTGAAAAATTATTGTTCTTATATTGTTGTATAAGGATTTGATTTTGTACAGAATCATACATTCTAAAAGATGCAGTCTGAGTTACGATATGCTTATAAAGTAGTTCTAATTCAATCAAAGAAAAAAAAATCGTGTTCTGAAGCCATTTATTATCAGTTATTTGCGCTTTGCTTTTTGTGGTTTGCGGCTAGGTATTTTGACCGCCGAGGAGAGAAAAGCACTTTACATGTATTTGCCATTCCTGCGCGAAGTCGTATTTTGTAATTATGCGGAATGTTTTTAAATTATTAATCGAAAAAGTTATTATTTAAGGGGTATTTCTTAGTCAACCAGTATATAGAATAGAAAAAAAATAATGAACATAGCCAGTTTATAGAATAGTAAATACATGAAAGCATGATGTTTTCTCGTGCACTTAGCTATTCTGGTTTATATTATTTTGACTAACACCTCCATGAGTATCAAGTGGTGTCGGCCGAAACAAATTAAAAAGGAGAATAGTATAGTATAGACATTATATTATAGTCTGCTTTATTGGTTTTGCCTGGCGGCATATTTTATTCGTTAAAAGATTATCTTAAAGTTCTTACTATTATTAATACTATTATAAAAGAACAATGCATTAATTAAGGTAATCCTAATCCTTAATTGCATATCCTTATTATGTATGCATTAGTTAAATTTCCTTTAATACAGATTTTAAAACTTTAGAATAGAAGGTTCTAACTAGTTTTAGTAATAATCTTCACGCTTTAACATAGTGTGAGTAAATTAATGCATTAGTTTAAATATGAAAAATATCCCTAAATGTTTTTTTTTAAATCTTAATTTGAATTAAGTTGACAATAATCATATTTCCAACTCTCTTTAATGAAACATTTCCATGTATGCTTAATGCTTTACTTATTCATTACTTAGCAAGAAATTCCTATGACAAAGCTGCTCAAACCATGCATGCATGATCGGACATGTAATAAAGTACTCCCGGTAATTAATACAATTAGAAAAAACTGAGACAGGATTATCAGGAAATGGGAGCACTGTCACCGTCACAACCTTCAAATTTGGAATCGATCTTGCTGTCAGCAAGACTCCATGAGAACGAAGAAGCTATGTTGGATTCTTACAGTGAGTGGTTGGTAAGCTCACGTATATAATATTAATCGTTTACTATGTTAGATTGGATGTATCATTAGTTATCTTTTTGGTTTGCTCTATGCAGTTATTATAATATGTTTCTGGTGGATTACAGGTCAAGCATCCCTCTGCACTGGACTTATTTGAGCAGATGATTGAAGCAGCCCATGGAAAAAAGATAGTTGTGTTTTTGGATTATGATGGAACATTGTCACCCATTGTACAAGATCCAGATAAAGCTTTCATGTCGGATAAGGTAATTTTCTTCTATCATGTTGATTTTGTATATTTAACATGCATATATGACAACAGTACTTGATTCTTCCATCATCAAATTAAGCAAACTAATCATCAAATATGATGTTAAATTACTGCAGATGCGTTCTGCTGTAAATGAAGTTGCCAATTTTTTCCCTACCGCAATTGTTAGTGGAAGGTGTCTTGAAAAGGTAGATTCAGTTAATGGTTTCCCTCAGACACCACACAAACCACATCAATTAATGGTTTCCCTCAGACACCACACAAACTACATCAATTAATGCTAATGGCAAAATTTAAATTCATTACCTTAATTCATGCGTATATATGTATTTTCGATGCTGTAGGTGAATGGATTTGTGCAACTGAAGAATGTGGCTTATGCTGGAAGCCATGGGATGGATATATCAACTCCGTTCGGCTCTTTGAACAATGAAAAGCACCCACATGAATCTAGAAGTGTTGGTGAACAGGTTCGTTAATTTGTTGCCTACACAGATTTGCTTTTCTGAATCTCAATCACATCATCATTTGACCAGTAGTTTTACTCTATAGGGTAATGAAATTGTTCACTTTCAACCCGCACAAGAATTTTTGCCAACAATCCAAAAGGTATACTTGATATATATACTGGATTATTTTTCTTCATTTCACATGGTGATATCTGATGATTAAAATTACAAACTAGTTGTATCTTTCTTCTTTCTCTCGATATGCTTAATCTCTTGTTGTAGATAATTCAGGTGCTGGAAGAAAGACTCAAGACTGTAAAAGGTGCAATGGTAGAAGACAACAAGTTCTGCATTTCTGTGCACTTTCGTCGTGTACACGAAGAGGTAATTAGACAACCCGCACAGTTAACGACATCATAACTATATAAACCAATTCTCAAATCTTAAGATGATAAATTTGCTTTTTGAACTTTAGGATTTGGACTCCCTGAAAGAAATGGTAAACTCTACCGTGGAAGCTTACCCAAATTTTCGCGTATCCGGTGGTAAAAAGGTATTCTAAGCTGTTTTAATATGCAGGATTTATAGTTATAAATGAATAACAAGAGTGTAAAGGATTCCTTTCTTTATCATTTTGTGGATTAATTACTTAATCAGGTACTGGAGATACGGCCTTGTATCAATTGGGATAAAGGTCGAGCTTTGGAGTATTTGCTCGACACTTTTGGTTTCAACAGTTGCAGCGATTTTCTTCCCATGTACATAGGAGATGATAAAACTGATGAAGATGCTTTCAAGGTACAAATGATGAATCAAACTTATCACATATGTATATTGATGTAGGGCTAAGTTCTAATTTTCGAAGCTGAACAATTGCAGGTTATTCAACGCATCGGACGTGGTTATGCCATTATTGTTTCTTCCATTCCTAGAGAAACAGAAGCTTCTTACTCTCTACGTGATCCAGGCGAAGTCATGTCATTCTTGATGCGACTTACAAAGTGGAAAAAACCCTCAATAGATTGCATAGATTTATTAAAGATATGAAAGTATAGATGCATATATTTTAAGGGGTCTTTAAGTATTACCCACTCAAAGCTAATTTGCTTATTTTTATTGGCAAACTAGCACAAATGAGATATGATAGAGTCGTCAGGTATTTAATCGATGACCTAGAAAAGATGTTATTAGGAGTTAGACCCCTTACGTAATTATATAAGGTAAATAAAGTAATAACAAAATCAGAAGGATCAAGGAGAGGAGGATTAAATGTTTTTTCTTTTCTTGAAATTGTTATCCGTAAAATTAATGGTTATATTCTTTTCAATTTGAAAATTCATTCCATATATTGTATTTGAGGAAGATTGGTGCAAAATCTAACAAGTTTGTCTGACGGTTAACGAGGTTTATTCTCTTTATTGAGTTTGTGTGTTCGAACCTTATGATCACTTTCCTTATTGTGATCGACACCAAGATTTTTTTTAATATCTATACAAATAAATTTGTATAATAAATTCTGATCCCGTAATAATTGAATATTCAAATAAAATTTAAAATACCATAAAATAGTGCGGATAAAGAATCAAACAACTAAAATGATGTCGTTTTGATTGCCCGGCAAACCCTAAAGGGCCTAAACCCTATGTCACACTCTCACCTCTCAAAGTCAAATCTTAAACCCTAAAAACCCTTATCCTGCCTTTTGCTCTATCCTCCAAACACAAGGCATTGGCATTTCGAACCGGCATCATTTCAGGTCGTGCTATGCCCATTAAACTATTACCGCATCTCCGGTTCCTCAATCCTTCCCTCCCAATCACCCGTTTTCCTTTAATGAATCTTAAACCCTCCATTCACACTTCTGGAGCCATAACCAGTTTGCGTCAGGCCTTCCCTTTTAAACTCAAATACCAAGGGTTCGCCACCCACGGTAACGACCAACACTTTCAGCACGGTGTGCGGAAATTATCGACTCGCCCGTTCCGACCCAGGACCGGGTCTATCTCTAGGTCCGAGTTCTCTCGTGATCGTGAGGGAGGTCGAGGAGAAATTCGCGCTTCCAAGAGTTTAATTGAGGACGAGGCTGAACTTAGTGACTGGGTTAGTGAGTTAGGGCCGGACTCATCCCATGGTAAACACATTAACAGAGACAAGGAGGAGTCAGATTTCAGGAAGCCTCGTGGTGGAGATAGAGACTCTTTTTTGATGAAGAGGAGAAGAGAGAGTAACCCGGACGGGTTGTACGAGTCTAATAGGAGAGTGAATCGGAACTCAGCTAACTCATTTTCAAGGAATAATAATTCGAGGTTTAATAGTAATTTTGAGAATGGTAATGGGGAGCCTTATTCGCGGAAAAAGAATAGTGGGTTTGAGAGAGGAAGTGTTAATTCTTTTACAGAGAAGAGAGGTGAGAGGAAGGACAGGGGGAGCTTCAAGAAAGAAGGGAAAATTTTCAAAAGAGAAAGGCCTTTTTCCGATGATGATAATGGTGATGATGTGAATGAGGAGAGAGGGAGAATTATGAGTGGTATAGGGGATTTGCTTAATGAGAAAGCTAGTGATGTCGATGATGTTAGTGATGTTGATGATGATGATGATGATAGTACTTTCAGGAAGAATGCCAGGACTTCTATTGGATTAGATGATGAGGGTGGTGAGACGAAAAGTTCACCGGGGAAATATGATTCGTATTTGAGTGAGAGCAGGTATGTCGTAGGGTTTTGTTTAACTTTCACCTATTATTTGCACTTTGCTTCCACTAAAAGATGACCAGTGGAGATTGTGACCGTCATATTTGGTTACATCAGTTGAACCTGGAAAACTAATGTTAACTAATTCTTAGTGGCCAATGTTATTTAGCTCTATACTTACTTCACTACTCTTTTCATTTTAAACACCTGACATTTTGGATCCTGCAGATTCGATCAATGTTCACTCTCCCCCTTGTCACTGAAGGGAATCAAGGATGCTGGATATGAGAAGATGACTGTAGTACAGGAGGCATCTCTTCCTGTAATACTCAAAGGTTAAAATCTTTCTAATGTATTATAAGATTTTTTATTTATTTATTTATTTTATATATATATTTCTACTTTTTTTTAGGATTCTTTGTGTGGATTGCTTGTCCACTCTTTAAATTCAATCCTTGTAGATTACGATTCCTTTCAAGTTAATTTTTGCTATGTTTTGTCAACTATTGTTTAAGACTATACTATTATACAGAATTTACATTCAGAAACTTGTTAATGAGAGAGAGATTTGTAACCTAATATTTCAAATCAAAAGAATGGAAAAACCTGAATCGTGGACGCCCTTTCTTATCTCCTCTGCCAGAAGGAATAATATGAAACTGCAGATCGTTACTAGGAAAGTTTTCATTGATTTGATAACTGGTGGAAACTCCTGATTAAGAAAGATAATGAGATTGATAGTGAGTTTGGTATTATGTCAGTTTGATATTCTCTTGTTTTGAACTTTGACTGTTTTGAGCTACTGTGGTCGTTAAAATGATTAGAGTTCACTAAAGTAGCTTTCATTTTCTTATATATGGTTCTTTTGATTTTATTTGATGCCTGTTCTATTCACTTTGCTTATTCTGATTGATATTGTTTCTCAGGTAAGGATGTTCTGGCTAAGGCTAAAACAGGCACCGGAAAAACGGTAGCATTTTTGGTAAGACTATTAAAAAAAAAAAAGGATTATCTTATGTTAGTCTATACACCAAGGCAAGATGTTTTGCTGAATCCTAACAATAATTAGTGCCCTTTTATGGTTTTTAGAGGTTTTCTAATTATCTTGGTTTGCATTTAAATCATCAAAAGTTTGGGTCTCCTTTCTTAAGATTTACATATTGTTTTAAAAACTAATAGCACACTTCCACTTTGAAAAATTACCAAAAACCATGCATAACTTTTAGAAAATAAGAAAATTAGTTGTGTAGGGATGTTATTATAGTTTGGTTACTTCTGTATGTTCATTTTTGGCATTAAATTTATACTGTGATTTTGATAGAGATTCAGAATTCGAAACAGAAATAAGAATATGAGTAATACTAGCCTTACAAAGAGGCATACAAAGAGTCAAATCCAACCCTTGAAATTCATGATTGCCTCTTTCTCTCTCTCTTTTTCCATTTTTTCAAGGGTTGGATTTGACTCTTTGGATGACTCTTTATATGCCTCTTTGTAAGGCTAGTATTACTCTAAGAATATTTCCAGTTTATGAATTCCAATTTGATGTCATCTTAGAATCTGTAGGAAGCAAAGGTTCTCTTTGTTTGCTGCACCTAGGATAGGAGTTTGGACATGAGTTATTCAGTTTGTTTACTTGAGAAGTTCTTTGTTTTCAGCTCCCTTCTATTGAAGTTGTCACCAAATCTCCTCCTGTTGGTCGTGATCAAAAGCGGCCCCCAATTCTTGTGCTCGTAGTATGCCCTACTCGAGAGCTTGCAACTCAAGCTGCTGCAGAAGCTAACACACTACTTAAGTATCATCCATCTATTGGAGTTCAAGTTGTGATAGGTGGTACAAGACTTGCTATGGAGCAAAAACGGATGCAATCAACCCCTTGCCAGGTGAGCTTCTTATTGCATCATAGGGCATGTTTCATATTTAATTTGATGCCTGTCATGTGTCGGAGCCTTATAGGAGATTTGATAGGCCAAATATGAATCAGTCTAACAACCTCTAATTGTTTGACACTTTTTTCAATTGTTGACATGCATCGGGCACAAAGTGAGCAAATTAGACTGTCTTGGTAGAATGATTGTGTTAAATTAAGAGATTCTTAGCCATCAACCAATCAAAACAGGATCCCCAGAGCATGTACTGCATATAATATTGCATGGTTATTGACTATAATATCTGGTTAGTGACACCTTGTAGTCAAATCCATCATGAAATAGTAGGGATATTGTTAAACTTTCACACATTCAAAATCTCAGATTCTTGTCGCGACTCCTGGAAGGCTCAGAGACCATATTGAGAATACTGCAGGATTTGCAACAAGGTTGATGGGCGTGAAAGTTCTCGTACTTGATGAAGCCGATCAGTTATTGGACATGGGATTTCGAAAAGACATTGAGAATATAATTGCTGCTGTTCCAAAAGAACGACAAACACTCTTGTTTTCTGCCACAGTTCCTGAAGAGGTTTAGTTCTGACCTTGGGTTTGTTTTAGCGTGCTATTTTAGATTGAAAGAAAATACTAAAGGTGCTATATGTTGTGAAGGTTCGTCAGATTTGTCATGTTGCTTTGAAAAGAGATCATGAATTCATCAATACTGTTCAAGAAGGAAGTGAGGAAACACACTCACAGGTTGGCCTTCTGATGACCCTTCCCAGTAACTAAATTTTTTTCTTGGTACTCTAATTCTTAAAATGTTGGATCATTTCAGGTCAAACAGATGCATTTAGTTGCTCCACTAGACAAGCACTTCCCCCTCCTGTATGTTCTTCTGAAAGAGCATGTTGCAGATAACGTTGACTATAAGGTACAGACGCGGTCCGTAAGTCTGTCATTCAAACTTTCTTTGTTGGATTTTCTGTAGAAGTTAAATTTCCACTTTCCAGTTCTTGTTGGAGTATGATTTAATATTTATGCACATGCATGGTCACTGACCCATGGTTTAGCATTATGGGAGTTATAAAGGAGATTTGGGCGTCTAAACTTTCTTTAGCCAGTATTTATTATGATTTTTTTTAATGTCACAGAAATCGGCATCTTTAATTTGTCCTCTTTTGGGCAAAATGTCCACTGATTTGTGCAGGTTCTTGTATTTTGCACCACTGCCATGGTAACTAGATTGGTTGCCAACCTTCTGGGTGAGCTGAAGCTGAATGTTAGAGAGATACACTCTAGAAAGCCACAGAGTTACAGAACCAGGGTTTCTGATGAATTTCGGAAATCAAAAGGTCTCATTCTTGTGACTTCTGATGTATCTGCTCGTGGGGTTGATTACCCTGATGTTACACTTGTCATTCAGGTAATAGGACACAATCTAAAAGCATTAGTTCAATTCATTTCTTACAGAAGTTCAAACATTTTGGAATGGAAACTTTTTCAGAGTTTCTTTTTGATTTCCATGCCTTCTGGATGTCAATGCAAAGTACACCAATTTTTGTTTGCCATTGTGGATATTATATTGCCAAATAATTCTTTGCAATTGTAGGTGGGCTTGCCAGCTGATAGAGAACAGTATATACATAGGCTTGGCCGAACTGGACGTAAAGGTAAAGAAGGGCAAGGCGTATTGTTACTTGCTCCGTGGGAGGAATTCTTTTTATCGACTGTCAAGGATTTGCCAATAACAAAAGCTTCTGTGCCTTCATTTGATCCAGACACACAGAAAAAGGCGAGTTTGAATATTTTATCAACTTTTTTGCAGCTTGTTTATTGTATTGTAATACTACTTAGTGATTTTTTTCTGTGAAGCTATAGTAGTCTTATAAATTGACAAGTGAATGAGTAATACTAACCTTACAAAGAGTCATACAAAGAGTCAAATCCAGCCCTTGAATCTCTCTCTTTTTCCCTTCTTTCAAGGGTTAGATTCGACTCTTTGTATGGCTTTTTGTAAGGCTAGTATTACTCCAAGTGAATACAAAGATTAAATATGTGAAAATATTGTTTGTCAAACAGGTAGACCGTGCACTTTCCCATGTGGAGATGAAGCACAAAGAATCAGCGTACCAGGCATGGCTTGGTTATTATAATTCCATAAAGAAAGTGGGGAGGGACAAATGTAGGCTTGTGGAGCTTGCAAATGAATACAGTCGATGCATGGGACTTGATAATCCTCCAGCTATTCCCAACCGTGTCCTTGCCAAGATGGGTCTTAGGAATATACCTGGTTTGCGTTCTCAATAGTGATCTTGCGGAAACAAATATCTTTCAATTTTTTCCAATTTTATTATAGTAATTAATTAAGCTTTGTAATGATATATCAGTCTCTCAAGTCTTGACTAAGAGCCTTTGGATTTTATTTCAAACTTTTGATCTGCCGATTACACAAATCCAATTGGGTTCATTTCACGGGTCCCGTTCGGATCATCATTCAACTGGGTTTTTGAGTTTTTCCTACGCATCGAGTCCTCTACACTTGAAGACGAGCAGCTATTTTAATAATAAAAAAATCAGTTTTTGGTGAAAAAATCTATTGTGTACTTCTTTTGCTCTCACATTGTTCTCTTATCAAACTTCTCTCACATTTCTTCCCTGCATACATTTCTCTCTTCATATTTTATTCTCACACATTTCTTTCATGGTTTTTTCATATTTTTAAACATTCTCTCAATTTCAAGGGTATTGTAATAATCTGATAATGTTAAGAGTAGCAAGATCACATATATGTTTTTTATTTATGTTCTTGATATGTTTAATATATATGTTTTTATTTATGCTTTTGATATATTTAATTTTCATTAACCCTTTTAGATAATGTTAGAAGATGTGTGGGTGGGTGTAAGTGTGTGGGATAAGAGGATGATCTTAATCATAATTTTGACCGATTGTCATGTTGATCGGTTTCACAAAGGTCAGTTATCATTGTTTTTCACATGCATAAACTCCATATTTCTTCTGGCATCATCTCTGAGGTCTAGTAACCTATCATAGTTTCTTACATGCATAAACTCTATATTTCTTCTGGCACCATCTCTGAGGTCTAGTAACCCTAATGGTATTAGAGCCAGCACACTTATTGATTCCAATTTTTGTGTGTGCAGAGGACTATCTCCCATCGGTTATTGGCTTCTTTAAGTTACTTATTGATTACAATTTCTGTGTGTGCGGAGGACTACCTCCCCTCGGATATTGGCTCCTTTAAGTCCTGGTTATGTTTTATGTTTTTAATTTATTATGGGTCTTGAGCTATTCTTACCATTTGAGGTTGTATTACACATCTAAGAGGTTGAACTTGTGCATATGAAATTCTCTTTAACTTTATCTACGTTTACTGCTCCAATAAATATTAGTTTATCTAGATTTTCTTCTAAAGTGGATAGTTTGTATGAAATATCTTATATCTCAGAAAATAAAAAAATCCAAGATATTATCCTTCCCATTGTAAATCCTTATACAACATTTTTCAGGTCTTCTTCTTCTTTGTCCAAAACCTTTAAAACTCTTGTTAGACCTTCCAGAAAGCTAGTCAAAGAGTATGTCTAGACTAGTACTTTTGATAAGTATCAAATTTTAGGCATAACTCAAGAACAATATGTTACTTTTGAAATCCCTCAAGAATCCATTACCTAATGGATCCGTGAAGGATCCTTTCAGTTACACTTTGGTGCTATCAGGCTAGCTCTATCTTACCATGGCAGAAAATGACTTCTAGTCTCTGTCCGCATCGCTCTGTTAGATACCAGATTTGTCCAATATCAATATGCTTGTATAGGAATGACACAAACAACTTTGAATGCTGGAATAGTCATTATGACATTGTTTCCTAATTTCAATATGTCTCTTTCTGATGTTTATTATTCAAAAGCTCTTAAAGTTCAATTACAGATAATTGGTGCAGATTTAAATCTAGGAAATATTGCAGCTACTTTGCATTACCAGATAGTTTGGCAGATCCGAGACTATGCTCTTGATCTCGCTATTCCTACTAATATTGATGCGTTGCTCTTTACTGTTGACTCTCAGAATACTTTTCACTGTATCAATATTCCCAGGCAGATTTCTAGAGATGATTTGATTAAATTGTTACTAGACTCTTGGGTGACGAGTTAAGAGTCTCTTAATAAAAAAGAAACTCCAGTGGTTTCTACAGAATCTACCATGCATGATAACAGTGACAGAATAACAACTATCAAATTTGAGTCTCCAACAACTCCCAGTGCTCCACCTTTGAGATTTCGAAAAACTCAATTCATGATCATTCTAGTCTCACTAGCCATAGTAGTACGAGAACTTGAACTTTTCATTCACTCATTTCAACAATCTGGTGCTCCGGTCTATCATCAATTTGATCCAGTTACTGGTCACACTCTATTTGATCTTGACTGCCAATGCTCGGACTGTCGTGATGATCCTATTTGGGAAATAGACGAGCATTATCTTTCTAGACGAAACCATTCCAGACGGAAAAAACAAACAACTCGATGTAGTAAAAAAGATTTTCACTCCAGATTTGAAGACCATGATCTTGAAGTTGGCCTCCTTGGTCAACCATTTGGTAAATTTGACTATTATGTCAAATATTCTCCACTAGCTTGGAAAGAATCACCATCCATTAAACCTTCATGGGAAATCCCTCCAAAACCTAAACCCAAATCACCTTTAAAACGATCTAAACCTGCTAAATCACCTTACTTCAAAAAAAACCTTTACCATGTTATCAGTAGGCTTTCCGGTGGATTGCAAAAGAAAACAAAACAACCCATTCACCCCTTGTTCATACTCCATATGTCCAGTCCATTATGATGATTCAATCTCTTGAACCCCAAAAGACAGGACAAAATTTCAATTATGACACAAACTTTCATTCTCTTTAGGAAATTGCGACTCAACAACCAAAATTGGTTCCTTCCAAAGTCATACAGTCTAATGACTTCACGCCAAAATTCTCTCAAGCTGAAGCAGTTCTTAATTGGCAGACTGAAAATGCTTTAGCCCAAAATAAAACCATTACCAGAATGGACCAAAAATTGGATTTGGTTGCTCATTAGGTGAACTCTCAGTCTCATAACCATACTATGCTGATTTCTAGTATACAAAAACAGGTTGATCAGCTTCAAAACCGGATTGATCAGCTCCATCAGGAATTGATGCACATTGTTAGCACCTCTCATGGTTATTTAGCTCAATTTCTCTAGAAGGAAGCAGAAATGAAGTAGCTAAAAACCCAAATGGCATCGCTTTAGCATGAATATCTTAAGCAAAAACTCAGACAACTATAGACTTTTCCTGAAATGTCTTTGGTGCCAAATCCTTTTGATTCTTCAACAACATGGCCACAACCCTCTTTTTCACCTTTCCCAAAGATTAGTCAACCTTTGGTCTCACCTCACATACCTTTTGGTGCTGTTCAGACTTTTGGCAATACTAAACAGTTATATGCCAAGCTCCGCAAAAAAGTGATGAAAAGATTAAGCTGGAACGGGAGCAAAAGAAGCGAGAAAAATATTCTGCTAAAACGTGGAAATCATCCGATGACATACTTGACTCTTTCTATTCCAGTCATTCAGATCCTCCATCTCCTAAGCCTCATCGTCCTTTATCTAAGGATAAAGCTCTAATGCAAATAATGATGATGGAAGATCGCCAAACCTCTGTTGATCCTGTCTCTTCAGAAAATCCTGTCTCTTCCAATTTTATGAGCTCTTTTTTTAGAGGCATGGCAGAAAGGCAATGTCTTGCAGCTTCTGGTATTTCTCAGGATTCTCTATCTTCCTTCCAAACAGAATTAGAAGCTGATATGCCTTCTACTGATGAATCATTTGATAGTAGCTTTGTTTCTGAAAGTGATACTTCTAATCATCATCTTAATGTTTATCCTCAATTGATGACCCATCAACTCGAATCTTCAAGACCACCTGTTGTCTCTGAAGTTGATGATGAGATGCCTGAAGGTGATGATTCCATTCTAGACTCTTCGCCTATGTATCAACAATCCCGTCAGACTACAACTAAGTGTGACTCTTATATAGCTTTAGCCAAGCTCCACACTTTTACTGTTGATGGTTTTCTTACACACAAATGGAGAAATCGGATGTATGAATTTCAAGCCTGGTTACAAGCTGAGATGTTTAAACCTAATGCCTAAGTCTCTACTGTACTTACACAGTTTACAACTAGATTTAGTGGCATTCTCCGTGATTGGTGGATTAGTCTTCAGGAGTACAGACAAAATTTGTCCTCTATGATGAATTTTGTGGATTACCTCACCTTTATGAGGACCAGGTCAGAGAATAATATTTTAAGATGTGATGTTGTTCTCTCAAAAAGAAAGATCTTGACAAACATTACAAAGAGATTGTAAAAAGATATCATCTACTTAGGGTTATGGATGATCCTAAAATGAAGCAAGCCTTTTTAGCGTCTATTCTAGAATCCTTAAGTCATGAAGCAACCAAGCTTATGCAGTCTCAAGGTAAACAACTTGGTTCCATGCTCTGGAACAGCTCTGTTCTCAAAAACAATTTTTTGATGATTATCTTAAGCGTTCTAAGCAGCTGACAAAGGTTTGTTAGAGACCAGACTTGCAGATCAAGTGCAAATAAGATCGTTCATGTTCTTGTCCTACCAAGAAGAAGTTTCATTCTAGACGCATTAAGTTTTCTCCACCTAATGCTCCTACCAAGCGCAAATTTTGACATTTCAAGTACTGCAAGTTTCTTCGGAAAAAGAAACGTAGAGGCAAACGATCTAATCGGTGTTATTTGTGCAACCGTCCTGGTCATTTTGTCAAAAATTGTCCAAACAAGCCCAAACAGTCAACCAAAATGATGCGATAGCTTTCTTAGCTCGCTAATATAGATTTTTCTGATGATGATGTTGAAAGCTGGTTTTCAATGGATGAAGAACTCACTTCAGACACTGTTTTTCAGTTTGCAATCATTGATACTAAGTTCTCTTATTCAAATGATTGTCACTATTTCTACCATATCCAACAAACACCACAATCCCTTCCATCCTTAGCCTTCTCATGTCACGTATCTACAGGAAAAGTTCAGATCTTCCTTACTAAATATTCCAATCCCATTTCAGTCATAACATTTTTTGATACTGGTGCTACTCGTACTGTTATCAACCCTAAAATCCTCCCATCTTTTCAGTGGAAACCTCATTAAGAAGTTTTATACATTGCTAATAGTGACACTTTCACTACTTATCTGATCAGTAAACCCATTAAAATCCAAATTCTTCCAGGATGTTTTACTTTTCACAAAGTTCTTGGTTCCGATTTACCTATCAAAGTTATGGTTCTAGGTTTTGATGTTTATTCTAAACTCAATAAACTTAGAATCCTCCCTAATGGTGCTCGGTACAAGATGTTTTTCCAATCTTGGACCACTCAACCTAACTTATTCTAGATTGAAGGCAATCCTATTGAACAGATCAAAGCCCAGCTTATTTCCCGCTTTTGTGCAAATTCTCACGCAGATTTTCTCACTAAATGTTCTCATCCATTATGGAAGAGTTCTGAT